ACTGAAACCAAGAGCTGTGCAAGGTGAAGCACATGTTGCTGGCTGCCTGTCCCTTGTAGCTTTGCCACTGGGAGCTTGTACTGGGGCTGGGGGAGCCCATCAATGCTGTGAGCACTTTTGGAGATGGATATGTCCCCCCCCAGGCAGGAGGCATTTCCAACAGGATGAGGTTCAACCAAGCCAAGGGCCGGGTCCTGCACTTTGGCCACAACAACCCCCTGCAGCGCTACAGGCTGGGCACAGAGTGGCTGGAGAGCAGCCAGGCAGAAAGGGACCTGGGGGTGCTGATTGCAGGAACCTGAACATGAGCCAGCAGTGTGCCCAGGTGGCCCCAGGAAGGCCAATGGCATCCTGGCCTGTGTCAGGAATAGTGTGGCCAGCAGAACTAGGGAAGTGATTCTTTCCCTGTATTTGGCACTGGTGAGGCTGCACCCTGAGTACTGTGTCCAGTTATGGGCCCCTCAATTTAGGAATGAGGTTAGTGAAGGGTGTGGAACACTTGTGGAACACATCCTTTGAGGAATGGCTAAAGGACCTGGGGTTGTTTAGCCTGAGGAGGAAGAGGCTCAGGGGAGAGCTCATCACTCTACAACTACCTGAGAGGAGGTTGTAGCCAGGGTTGTTACCCCAGGGGGGTATCAGTCCCCCAGGCAACCAGCAGCAGGACAAGAGGACAATAGGACACAGTCTTAAGCTGCACCAGGGGAGGTTTAGGTTAGACATTAGGAAGAGGTTCTTCACAGAAAGAGTGACTGGGCAGTGGAATGGGCTGGCCAGAGAGGTGGTGAAGTCACTGTCCCTGAAGGTATTTAAGAAAAGCCTGGATGTGGTGCTTAGTGCCATGGTCTAGTTGACAAGGGGCTGTTAGGTCAAAAGTTTAACTCAGTGATCTCAGAGGTCTTTTCCCAACCTAGTTGATTCTGTGATTTCTTGCACCTGACAGGGTTCAGCTTTAGCAATAGCCCTGCTGGTTTTTGAAGGATTGCATGTGAAAAGGTAGGGAAAACAGCTGGTAAAAACAGGAATGGGCCAAAACCTCTTGCTTCCCTTCATTCCCAACATTCCAGCTTGACCTAAAATACTGGTTATAGGGAATAATATTTCAGGCCTGTGTTATCTATTGAGGGGTGTAGAAGGTGTGGAAATGTGTCTGGAGAGGGAGACACTAGACCCCTGGTGCACTCTCAAGTCCTCACTGTGGACAACAATCCTGGGTGTGCTGTCTGCTCAGCATCATCTCCTACAGCTGCATTCCTGTTGCTAGAGGTCTTCTTCCCTCCTTGGGTGCAGATTTTCATAGAATCACTGAATGGTTTGGGTTGGAAGGAACCTTAAAGACCACCCAGTTCCAACCCTGCCATGTGCAGGGACATCTGCTAGACCAGGTTGCTCAAAATCCCATCTAACCTGGCCTTAAAATACTTCCAGGGATGAGGCATCCACAATTTCTCTGGGCATCCTGCTCCAGTGCCTCACCATCTTCACAGTAAAGTATTTCTTCATAATATCTAACCTAAATCTCTCCTCTCTCAGTTTAAAGCCATTCCCCTCATCCTATCACTGCACACCCTTGTCAAAAGTCCATCTCCAACTCTCTTGCAGGCTCCCTGCAAGTACTGGAATGCTGATAGAAGGTCTCCCCAAAGACTTCTCTTTTCCAGGCTGAGCAACCCCCATCTTTGTACTATGGAGAGGTGCTCCAGCCCTTTCATCATCTTTATGGCCCTCCTCTGGACTCGCTCCAACAGGTCCATGTACTTCTTATGTTGGGAGCCCCATAGCTCGATGCAGCACTGCAGGTCAGGTCTTACCAGGGCAGAGCAGAGTGGCAGAATCCCCTCCCTACACCTGCTGGTCACACTGCTTTTGATGCAGCCCAGGGTGTGGTTGGCCTTCTGGGCTGAGGGTCCACAATGCTGGGCCATGTTGAGCTTCTCATCCAGCAGGACTCCTGAGTCCTCCTCAGGGCTGCTCTCAATCCATTCTCCGACCAAATCTGTCAGGCAAGATTTGCCCTTAGTGAAGCCATGTTGGCTGTCACCAATCACCTTATTTCTCTTGTGCCTTAGCAGAGTTTCCAGAAGGACTTTGCTCCATGATCTTGCCAGGCACAGAGGTGAGACTGACCGGCCTGTATTTCCCTGGATCTTCCTTTTCTTCCTTTTTAAAAAAGGGGTTATGTTTCCCATTTTCAGGTCAATGGACATTTCATCAGAATGCTACAATTTCTCAAATGATAGCTAATGGTTTAGCCACTTCATCCACCAGTTCTCCCAGGACCTGTGGATGCGTCTCATCAGGTCCCACGGACTGTGCACCTTCAGCTGCCTGAGATGGCCTTGAACCTGACCCTCTCCTACAGTGGGTGATTCTTCATTCTCCCAATCCCTGCCTTTGCCTTCTGCAACTCGGGCAGTGTGGCTGGAGCACTTGCTGGTGAAGACAGAGGCAAAAAAGTCACTGAGTACCTCAGCCAGCTCCATGTCTCGGGTAACCAGGTCTTCCCTTTCCCTCCGGAGAGGATCTTCATTTTTCCTTGTCTTCCTTTTATCACCAACATACCTACAGAAGCTTTTCTTGTCATCTTTGATGTCCCTGGCCACAATTAATTCTGCCAGGGCTTTAGATCCTTTACTTGATCCCTGGCTGCTTGGACAACCTCTCTATATTCTTCCCAGGCTTCCTGCCCCTGCTTCCACCTTCTGTAGGTTTCCTTTTAGTGTTTGAGCTTGTCCAGGAGCTCCTTGTTCATCCATACAGGCCTCCTGCCATTTCTGCCCAACTTCCTCTCTGTTGGGATGCCCCACTCCTGAGCTTCGAGCAGGTGATCCTCGAATATCAACCAGCTTTCTTGGGCCCTTCTTCCCTCCAGGGCTTTATCCCATTGTACTCTACCAACCAGATCCCTGAAGGGGCCAAAGTCTGCCCTCCTGAAGGCCAGGGCAGCAATGTACTATGTGCCCTCCTCACTGCCCTAAGGATCTTGAACTCCAACACTTCATGGACCCTGCAGCCAAGGCTCCCTTTGAG